CACAGGTCACAGGTGTACCTGGTCACAGGCGTACCTGGTCACAGGTGTACCTGGTCACAGGTGCACCTGGTCACAGGCGTACCTGGTCACAGGCGTACCTGGTCACAGGCGTACCTGGTCACAGGCGTACCTGGTCACAGGTGTACCTGGTCACAGGTGTACCTGGTCACAGGTGTACAAGCACTAAGCGCACTCAGGCTATAGGCCAGGCCCTGCGCAGTCCTGGTTCCCACACTCTGCCCCCACTGGGCACCCCCACATACCCTCTGTCCCTCGGTGGGGGCTGCTGGTCCCGGCCTTGCCAGCTGGACCGGGGCTCTTGCTCCTGGTGCACAGGTCCATCTCTGGCCTGCTTCTCCTCAATGCTAGCGAGAGGGTCCTGCTAGGGCCGTCCCTGCAGGTGAGGACATCTTGTCGCTGGCACAGGAGACCCCTAAGGCCAAGGAGACTGAACTCCAGGGCCCAGAGATGAGGCAGAATCAGACACTAGTGGTCTGGATCCTAGAGAGCAGGTAGCTCCCAGATGATGAGCACTGTGCGGTGTGCACATCACCAGGGTGAGAGCCATCATGTGTGCACACCATCGGGGTGAGACACCCTGGTCTCAGGGGAGAGGGTTGGACAGTAGTGACCGTTAGAGGACCTGCTGTCCACGGCACCAGGGAACAGGTAGATGTGACCACACCACAAGGTGATTCTGTCCCATGCTTCTGGATCATACAGCAAATGAGTGGAAGGATAGGCAGGTGCATGGGTGGATGGATGGACGGATGGATAGATGGACAGATGGAAGGATGGATGGAAGAAGAGACAGACAGATGGACCAATGGACAGACAGACAATGCACAGACGGATGGATGGATGGATGGGTGGATGAGCAGATAGACAGATGGTCAGATGGCATTTACAAACCTTTCTAGACTCTTCTGTTTGCCCTGTAGGTCTTCTCTCACCAGCAGTCTCTTCCCATAATCCATGCAAATATTCCCAACGCATTTTGCTCACTAGTGTCACCTCTGAGGCGTTGGCCGGTTCTGGCCCTCCAGTACGAGTTACAGACACTACCCCTTTTCCTCCCAGCTTTTAGGAAAATGGTACATAATCCGCTGGGCTGGCACCATCCCGTCCCCCAGGGAGAAGCTGCTGGCGCCCCTGCCTCCCTTCAGCTTCGTGGTGAACTCCATGGGGAAGCTGGAATTCCAAATGCGTATCCTGTGAGTGCCCCACCCCCGCTCCCTCAGGCCCCGCAGGCCCCGGCCACCCGGCTTCCCATCCCAGGCATCTGCGTGACCCACAGTCTAGGGTGTCGCCTGTGTAGCTGACCTGGGGGCCCCCAGCACTGTCGGGGCGAGAGCCCTGGCGCCAGGGAGTGGGAAAAGGAGGGGCTCGTGGCCTGCTCTCCTTGCGGAAGCCCAGCCTCCCAAGCACGAGGAAGAGCAGGCCGCAGCCCCAGCGGGCTGGCAGGGACGTCAGCCAACAGGAACCAGCGGTACAAGGCAGCCAGCCCCATCCCAGCACCCCGGCACCCGGGCACGGCAGTGGTGACCCAAGCCCTGGCCCGGTGGTGATCTCAGAAGCCCCTTGCCCAGCAGTCAGCAGCCCTGAGCCCTGGCGGGGGAGCTGAGCAGGGTTGTGTCCCCTGGCCATGGGCTGGCGCTGGCCGGGCTCTGGAGGCATGGACACTCCTCCCAGCAGCTCCTGTCTGGCTTCTTGGGGGTGGCTGAACGGCTGGTGGCCGGTCCCACGCACTGGAGTGATGGCAATGGGTGTAGACGGGGGTCTGTGTGTCATGGTAAGGTGGGGGCAGAGCTGGGGCAGGGGTGAGGGCAGGGGTGGGGGCAGGGGAGACACCGTGTGAGAATCCAGGCAGCACCGAGGAGGCCGGGCCGGAAGGCACAGCCCAGGTTCCACACTTGCCAGGGGGCATCCAGAGAAGAATGGGGGGCCATCGATGGGGAGCCCAGCTCACACCCCCGACGCCGCCTCCAAGGCTGTCTCCATCTTCCAGGAAGCCAAGTGGCTGCCAGCTGTTCAAGCTGCCCTTGTCGGTGGCCCGTGTGCCTGCCAGCTTCGTGGGCTGTGAGTGCTGTGGGGCGCGGGGCGGGACCTGGCTCACCAGCCTCTGGGAAGCTGCCGCCCGGCCAGGCGGGCTGTGACTCGACTCCCACTACCACTGGGGAGCCTCAGAGTCCCTCTGGGAGGCCGCCTTGGATTCCTAGTGGGGCCAGGTGCTGGGGCCCAGGCTCTGGAGATTTTCTGTGTCCAAGACCCAGCTTTCCCAAGTATTGCCAATTCCAAATCCCCTGGAAGCCCCAGCTCAGCATCTCCCATGCCAGATGCAAGCTGTAGACCCCGACACGCCCGATCACTTTCAGGGTGGAAACACATGATCTACATCTGGCTGGTCACACCGAGGAGCTATGGGATCGCCTACTTTGGAGACAGGATGAACAACCGGAGGGTGCAGATGATGATGCTCTTTGGTACAGCCCTGGGGCCCTTGTGCTTCATGATGTGTGTGCATGTGCACCTTAGAGGTTCATGTGCCCATGCACGTGGATAGCGCAGGAGTGCACACCTGACAGCCTGAGTGTGAGCACATGGATAGTGCAGGGGTGCAAACCTGACAGCATGAATGTGAGCACGTGGATAGTGCAGGAGTGCACACAGGACAGCCTGAGTGTGAGCACGTGGATAGTGCAGGAGTGCACACCTGACAGCCTGAGTGTGAGCACGTGGATAGCGCAGGAGAGCACACAGGACAGCCTGAGTGTGAGCACGTGTATAGTGCATGAGTGCACACCTGACAGCCTGAGTGTGAGCACGTGGATAGTGCCGGAGTGCACACAGGACAGCCTGAGTGTGAGCATGTGGATAGTGCAGGAGTGCACACCTGACAGCCTGAGTGTGAACACATGGATAGTGCAGGAGTGCACACCTGACAGCCTGAGTGTGAGCACGTAGATAGTGCAGAGGTGCAAACCTGACAGCATGAATGTGAGCAAGTGGATAGTGCAGGAGTGCACACCTGACAGCCTGAGTGTGAGCACGTGGATAGCGCAGGAGTGCACACCTGACAGCCTCAGTGTGAGCACGTGGATAGTGCAGGAGTGCACACCTGACAGCCTGAGTGTGAGCGCATGGATAGCGCAGGAGTGCACACCTGACAGCCAGAGTGTGAGCACGTGGATAGTGCAGGAGTGCACACTGGACAGCATGAGTGTGAGCACATGGATAGTGCAGGAGTGCACACCTGACAGCATGAGTGTGAGCACATGGATAGTGCTGGATTACAAACCTGACAGCCTGAGTGTGAGCACGTGGATAGTACAGGGGTGCACATCTGACAGCATGAGTGTGAGCACATGGATAGTGCAGGAGTGCACACCTGACAGCCTGAGTGTGAGCGCGTGGATAGCACGGGAGTGCACACGTGACAGCCTGAGTGTGAGCACGTGGATAGTGCAGCAGTGCACACGTGACAGCCTGAATGTGAGCACGTGGATAGCGCAGGACTGCACACCTGACAGCCTGAGTGTGAGCACGTGGATAGTGCAGCAGTGCACACGTGACAGCCTGAATGTGAGCACGTGGATAGTGCAGGACTGCACACCTGACAGCCTCAGTGTGAGCACGTGGATAGCGCAGGAGTGCACACCTGACAGCCTCAGTGTGAGCACGTGGATAGCGCAGGACTGCACACCTGACAGCCTGAGTGTGAGCATGTGGATAGTGCTGGAGTGCACACATGACAGCCTGAGTGTGAACGCATGGATAGCGCAGGAGTGCACACCTGACAGCCTGAGTGTGAGCATGTGGATAGCGCAGGAGTGCACACATGACAGCCTGAGTGTGAGCATGTGAATAGCGCAGGAGTGCACACCTGACAGCCTGAGTGTGAGCACGTGGATAGTGCATGAGTGCACACCTGACAGCCTGAGTGTGAGCGCATGGATAGCGCAGGAGTGCACATCTGACAGCCTGAGTGTGAGCACGAGGATAGTGCAGGAGTGAACACCTTACAACCTGAGTGTGAGCGCGTGGATTGCGCAGGAGTACACACCTGACAGCCTGAGTGTGAGCACGTGGATAGTGCAGGAGTGCACACCTGACAGCCTGAGTGTGAGCACGTGGATAGCGCAGGAGTGCACACCTGACAGCCTGAGTGTGAGCACGTGGATAGTGCAGGAGTGCACACCTGACAGCCTGAGTGTGAGCACGTGGATAGTGCAGGGGTGCTCATCTGACAGCCTGAGTGTGAGCACGTGGATAGTGCAGGGGTGCACACCTGACACACAGGACAGCCGTGCGTGAGCATGTGAGCGTGTGCAGAGTGCTGAGTCTGTGCTCCGCAGGCTTACAGCCACCCTGACCTGCAATGTCTGCCCCCCGGCACCCTCCTCAGCTCCCCCCCCCGCCCGCCGCGCCCTGGGCCAGGCCCTTCAGGTCTGCACCCAGCCGCTGCCTCTCTCCGATCCACTCCTGAGGGAGCTTCCCTTGGGGTCTGCTCCGCTCCGGTCACTCGAGGGGTCCTCCGTGCAGGCCCCGGTCCTCGCGGTCCCTTGGTTGACATCACCCTTCCCTGTCACGGCTTCCTAAGCATGGCTGCCCCTCTCAACAGCCTCACAGCTCAGATCTAACTCTGACCCTCTGCCCTGCCCCTTCCCTGGGAAGACACAGCCATCACCCTCTGGGCCCCGGCTGGGGAAGGGAGGGAGGGCGGGCTGTGGGAGGGAGGGCTGGAGAGAGGGAGGGCTGGCCATGGGAAGGAGGAAGGGAGGGAGGCCGTGGTGGAGGGAGGGCTGGTCCTGCCGGCACTCCAGGCAAAGGCCCAGCACTGACCGGCCCTCTGTCCTGGGGCCCTGCGTCCCCCACCGCACCTGTGTTCCGCAGGCCGCACCCTGGAGGAACACCCAGGGGCCCTGATGATCTTCGAGGTGTTTGTGGAGAAGAAAGGACTGAACAAAGCAGACCTCATCTGCCCTCCTCACCTCGGTACTGGGCTGCTCCCCCCTCGCGCAGGCCTGCCTCCTGGGCGCAGCCCGGCCGAGCACCGACGCCCTCCTCCGCTCCGCAGATGCCTGTGAGCCGGACGCAGTGTCTTAGTGTGTGGAGCAACAAGACGCTGGACCCCACCATCCTCTGTACCCCACAGGCCGGACCTCCCCTGCTCCAGCCTCCTGCCCGTGGCCTCCAGGAAGTCACCTTTACCTGCAGCATGTGTGTGTGTGTGTGTGTGTGTGTGACAGAAAGACAGAGACCAAGAGAAATGTTAATAAATTTGCTATCCACAACCTCATTTCTGTAACAGATATAATTGGTTCTGGTTATCCATTGCTTCTTTAATAAGTGTTCATATTGTGAGGCTAGGAAGCAAAAGCAGTGATCGGGAGAGTCTCCATGGCGCCTGGCAGCCCACCGCGAGGGGAGCGGGGAGAGGCGGGAGGCTCTTAGGGGAGAGAATGAGGAGGGTCACAGTGGGGCTTGGGAACAATGACCGCGCCACAGGGACGTGGGGTTAGGGGGGGAGGGTGTCACGTGACTGTTCCGAGTCACGTGGGCATCATTCCTGTGTTTACTGTGAAGTTCGTGAAGAACTGCAGTGTGGGGAAGTCCTGTCCTCCCCGGTTCCCAGACCTGGACTGGCCACAGCCAGCGCCTCTCCTGTGCTGCCCAGAGCTGACCGCGGCCAGCGCCTTTTCTGTGTCCCCCTGACCACGGCCAGCTTCTCTCCTCTGTCCCAGCCTGACTGTGGCCAGCACCTTTCCAGTGCTGCCCAGAGCTGACTGCGGCCAGCGCCTTTTCTGTGTCCCCCTGATCACGGCCAGCGCCTCTCCTCTGTCCCAGCCTGACCGTGGCCAGCACCTTTCCAGTGCTGCCCAGAGCTGACTGCGGCCAGCGCCTTTCCTGTGTCCCCCTGACCACGGCCAGCTTCTCTCCTCTGTCCCAGCCTGACTGTGGCCAGCACATTTCCTGTGCTGCCCAGAGCTGACCGCGGCCAGCACCTCTCCTGTGCTGCCCAGAGCTGACTGGCCTGGCGGTCACGGTTCTCCATCCCTAGGTTCCTCCCTGTCCTGCTGCCTCCGTGCCTGGGCCCTCCGTCCTCCCTGACACCTTGGCCTTGGGGCCGAGGGTGTCCCCAGCAACCTTCCCTGGGCCCTGCCAGGCACCCATACAGCCTTCCATGCGTACACACATGTGAGCACACACACGCATACACTCACGTGAGCACACGCATGTGTACATGCATGTGAGCACACACACGCGCCCCTCCCCAGGGGCAGGACACTGGAGTCGGAGCCACAAGAGGCTGTGGGGTCCATGCAGCACAAGCCTTCTGTGCGGCCCCAAGCTCTGGTCATCATCTGAGGAGAGGAAGGGCCACCCCTGCAGGCCGTGGGGGACCCAGATGGCCAGCACACCGTGTCCTTCCTCACTGACGTCCTCTGCCCTTTGAAGGCTGTGTCCTTCCTCGCTGACGTCCTCCGCCCTCTCTTCCCCCTCAGTCCTTCAGAGCTATAATCCTGTTAGTCTCAGGCTGCACAGCTTGGCTTTTGGCCCAGCCTGTGTGGTGCCTGTGCCCTGCCTGACCTTCAAAGCATGGGAGGTGCTCAGAGGGCAGACCCCAGAGGACAGACCCTGGAGGGGTGACCTCGCTGTGGCTCAGAGGGCAGACCCCAGAGGTGACCTCGCCGTGGCCCCACACGGCCTCATGGAGCCTGGAGCAGGACGGACTCTGGCTGGGGTTTGGCACCAGGGCCAGCCTCACAGAATGACTGGCTCTCCGTGAAGCACGAGGCCAGCCCTGCCTGCTCCACATCGAGCCACCACGTCCCAAGGGCCCCATGTCCACTGTGCGGACCCCGAAGCAATGCGGGCTGCTCCCAGACCTGAGAGGCCAACTCCTGGTTCTTCCCTGGGGGGCAGCGGTCATTCAGGAGTCTGGGGAGACCCAGCCCTCTCTGGAAGGGCACAGTCAGCACGCCCAGACGGGCAGCAGTGAGCTTGTGGCGGGGCCCGCACAGGCCTGGATCTAGACGACGTCCCAGAGGCTGGAAGCCAGGCCCCCAGCGGCCTGGCCCTGGGGCCCGCGCCTGACCTTTGCAGTGGAGGCCGGGCTGGCACAGCCCCCGGGGATGCTCCAGCTATGCAAACACGTTAGTTCCGGAGGGCGGTACAGGATGTGGGCACAGTGGGGCACTCTTTTCTTGGGGCTGCCTGGTTCTGGGGCGGCATATATAGGGCCAGGCAGGGCCTCGTCCCCCCCTACATCCAGCACACTGCGCCCAGACAGCGCTGCCGGGAGGATGGGGGTGCCGCAGAGAAAGGGGCTTCTGCTGCTGCTCAGTGTCTGGCTGGGCCTGGCCCGGGCAGGGCAGGACCAAAGCCAGGTGCCCGTGCAGCCCGGGTTCAGTCCTGAGCAGGTGAGGGGGCACACCCGGCGGGCGTCCCTCCCACCCATGGAGCACATGGCCCCCAGTGCTGTGGCCCAGGCTCTGGGGAGGGCGGGTCCCCAGGGCCACCAGGGTTAGGACGGGTCCTCCCTTGCAGGCCGAGGGACACTGGTACACCATCAAGCTGGGAGCCACCAACCCGTCCGCTGTGCAGGAGGGCGGCGCCTTCCGCTGCTTCATGACCAACATCAGGGGCCTGGAGAACGGGAACTTGAACGTCACCTACTTCCACAGGTAGCTGTAGCCCCACACCTGGGCCCCAGCCCCAGCCCCTCACCGCCAGGCCCCCAAGCAGCGTCTGTGGCTCCGGCCTCTGGCCTGTTCCTGGGACAGTGGTCAGCTCCTCGGTGAGCCAGGCGACCCTGTGGACTCAGGGTCCAGCTGGCACTGGTCAGAACTGCTGCTGTCCTTCTAGAAAAGACGGAAAGTGTGTAAAGGAATTCTACATCGCGGAGCGGACCAACACACCCGGACGCTACACCTTTGAGTGTGAGTAAGCGTGGCCGCAGCCTTGGGCTGGTCAGAATGTGAATGCGGCTGAGGGGCAGGTTCCAGAAGAGGCCATGGTGGTGAGGACAGAGGCCACGGTGCCCCCCCCCCGCAGTGGTCATCCCTGAGAGACTCTAAACCTCACAGCAGTGGACTCCACAGTGCATCCACCAGGGCTCCCCACAAAGTGGGGGGCTCCTTCCCAGGACCCTGCTCTGGGGACCCAGTGCAGAGCTGATCTGTTCAAAGAGGTAGAGGTTGGAAGAAGGGAGGCCAGTAGGGAGAGAAGGGAGGCTCCAGGGTTTACCTTGGGGGGCAGAAGTTCCCAACTTCTGCAGGAGCCTTTGTAAGGTGGGGGGGAGAGGGGAGAACCCCAGCGTACCTGGAGGGGGGAGTGGGTGCTGTGAAGACTGTGACTTGGGTCCACAGGCACTCTGCCACTTGCTAGACTGAGGCCTTGTAGCCTGAGGTTCGGGTGAGTTTGTTGAGGTTGGGAAGACGCTCGGGTCCTTCCTCATCTGCGTCTGTGCTTCTCAGCCGTCCTGGAGTACGAGACAGAGACAGAAACAGAGACACACAGAGACAGAGAGACCAAGAGAGACAGAAAGACCAAGAGAGACAGAGACAGAGAAGCAAACAGAGACTGAGAGACAGAAAGACAGAGATAGAGACAGACAGAGACTGATATAGGCACAGACAGACAGGGAGACGGGAGGTGGAGACAGACAACAAAAGGGAAGCGGGCAGGCGGGGGTGGGGTCGGGGAGCGTGGAGTCTGGGCTCCTGCTGGTGGGTTTGGGGGGTTCGGGCTGGGCCAGCTGGGGGTGCAGAGCCCCTGGGGGACCCCAGGCACCGGCAGGCTTCCCGCTCACTCCCTCTTGCTTTCACAGACGGAGGCAGAATCTACCTGACATTTGTGGTCCTGAACCATGACGTTGCCATCATGGACTTGGAAAGCCACAGTGATGCCGGCCCCTTCATCGTGGTGGAGCTCCACGGTGGGCGCGGCCTCCACGGGGAGGGGGAGGGAGGGAGGGGCGTGCCAGGGAGAGTAGGGACCTGGGACTTTGTGCTGGAGGGGTGGAGGGACACCGCAGGGGTGAGGGGGGGCTCCCTCTGCCGTCCCCTGCCTCAGGCTGGCAGCTGCAGAGCCCTTTGGTCACCTGGAATCTCCCGGTGCCCCCTCCCCGCCCCGTGGCTGCAGGCAGGAGTCTGTCCCCCGGCAGGCAGGGGCTGGATGCCTACAGGCAGCACATGGACAGAAGAGGCCTGGGTCAGAGCCACACTGTGGACCTGGTTCTTGCGTGTAAGCGGCCCTCACCCAACCCTGCTTCCTGCTGGAGCCCAAACTGCTCCCGCCCTTCCAGAGGTGCCGGGCCGGGTGCCGGGCGGGGTCTGTGGGGGGCTCTGCAGAGCTGGAGCTGCATCTGGGGTGGGGGAGAGCTGGGGGGATGGTGAGGAGCCCCAGACGGTGACTGCGGCTTCTCTGGTCCACAGCGAGATGCGACTCCCCGGAGTAGACGCGCATCAGGTGAGTAGACGCCGCCACCCCTGGTGCTCTGGCAGGTGGCTTGGGAGACCCCAGGCATACTGACCCCATGCAGGCTGGGACCCCAGGAGCCACTCACTCTGGATGCCAGGTCCCAGGGCCCAGCCCAAATCAGAACACCACGGGAGCCGGGAGTGCCTGGGTGCCGGGTTCGTGGGGCTGGAGACAGCCTGGACGCTGTATCTCAGGGCTGACGGCAGCTTCCAGCCTCCCAAGGGCACAAGGCGGCGGCGGGCCCAGCTTGCTTCCACTCACCCTCTGCATGCCTTACTGCGTGCATGCGTGCACACACACACCCGTGCACACACCCCCATGCACACACGCACGGGCCTCCTGGCTGGTCCCTACTTGGCCACTCTTACCCTGCGCTTTGCGTAGAATCCCTGCACACCAGTGCCCCCCTCTGGCTCTGCTGGGCCTGGCTCTCCCTCCTGGGCACCACACAGGCTGCACCCGCCCTCCAAGCCTGGCGACCACCCCAGGCAGCCCGCTGAGGCCTGCGCACACCTGTCCATGCCAGCAGCTCAAGAATGCGGGGTGCCTGGCTCCCCCAGACGCTCCCACCCCAAGAATCACAGGCCAAGCCAGGGCAGAGGCCAAGGCCTGGTGACCTTGAGGGTCTATGACCATGATTGACGGGGCTCAGAGCGAGGCCCCGAGGATCTGGGGGTCTGAGAGCATGGCCATCTTGCTTAGCTGGTGGTTACACAGGGTCTGGGGGACACAGCAGGACTGCAGCAAGGGGGGAGGGAGGGCAGGCCTTGGGGGGAGGGGGCAGACGCCGGGAAAGGCCCTGCTCCCCCCCCCAGCACATGGGGCACCTGCTGGGCTGGACGCCTGCAAAGAGCTGCGGCTTCCCCAGGTCCCAGCGGCAGGAGCCAGCCCTTCCTGTGACCTGTGCCTTCGAGACCTCCTGACCTTCAGCCCCCGCCCCTGCAATAAACCAGCTCTGCACCCACACCCGGCTCCATGGCTCAGTCTGGTGCTCAGAGGCAGGGTGGGAGCCCTCGGGGGAGGAGGGGAGAGGAAGCCCATGTGTCCCCACCCCCAGAAGCGGAGGCGCAGGCTTCGGCCGGGCCTCCTGGAGGGCGGGCCGTGGGGTCCCCACAGGGCAAGGCCCAGACAGGCGCTGGGCAGGCCTCTGGGGATGCTGAGCCCTCCTCTGGTTCAGACCGAGGTCGGGGCCACACCATCCACTCAGTCTGTGCATGGGGGCTGCGTGCTGCCGCGGCCAGAGGAGCAGAGGGCAGCACGGCCGAGCCCCGGCCTGGACCCGCGGACGGGTGTCAGAGCCGAGTCGGCCGGGGCAGGGTGCTGCACAGCCGGGCACCAGGGACAGGCTGAGGTTCTGCTTTGCCCACGGCCCGAGTCGCAGGCTCAGTGGCCAGGGCTGGGAGGCTGGCCCTCTCCTTGAGAGTCAAACCCGGCCTGGCCAGGGCTGTGCCCTTCCAGGCAGGGCATATCTGGTGATACACCCCAGCTGCCCCGGGGGGCTGCTCAGCAGCAGTGGGCTTCCCTGGGAGCTCCAGGGTGGGCAGGAGTGGAGCAGCCTGAGTGTCCACGCTGGGCCAGGCCAGGGCCCGCTGCACCGGCTGCGCAGCTGCCCAAGCAGGCCTGAGCACTCGGGCAGGCCAACGCCCCACAGGTGAGGGGGGAGAGGCCTGGAGGGGAGGCGGGGCCCAGGGAAAGGTATCCCATTTGGGGACCAGCTGGTTGCTTTGTGGGCACATCGAGGAGGCAGTGCCGCCGGGCCGGGGACCTGCACTGACCCCTGAGGCAAAGGAAGACCTAGGAAGCAGGCACCCCTGCCGTCCTGACACGTGGGCAGGGTGGTTCTGGAGCAGGGAGAAGGAGCTGGGAGGAGCCGTTCTCAGTGATAAGATACACATGGCACTGTCTGGCAGCCAGCATGCATGGAGCCCCCGTCCTGGGGGCCATCTGCCCTGTAATCCCCACGCCCACCCCAGAGCAGCCCTCACCTCCTCCTGGGGGGTCAGTGGGCAGGGACACAGCAGGACAGGACAGCTGGCCTGCGCAGGAGGGCAGAGCTGCAATAGAAGCAGAGCCGCTGCACCCTGCTGTGTTCCCTCGACAGCCTCCCAGCTCCCAGCCCAGTTAAGGCGGCCTCCCAGCTCCCAGCCCAGTTAAGGCGGCCTCCCAGCTCCCAGCCCAGTTAAGGCGGCCTCCCA